AATGGAAAACACGTGGTTCCAGCAGGATCGCGCGACCTCCCATACAACGGACGCCAGGATGAAGCTTGTTCGTGAACATTTTGAGGGTATGATCACCTCCCACCTAAATTGGCCACCAAGATCGTGAGATTTGACTCCGCTAGACTTTTTCTTGTGGGGTTTTCTAAAGTCGCAGGTGCATGCCAATAAGCCGCCATCTATAGAAGCCCTCATAGTCAACATAACTCAAGCAATAGCCTATATATATATATATATATATATATATATATATATATATATATATATATATATATATATATATATATATATATATATATATATATATATAATTTTAATCATAGACAAGGAAGGAAGTACTGAAAGAAAGGTTGACAAAAAGACAAAAAAAAAACAAAAGGAATTCAATGACCATTACATATTTGTTTATTTCACTATGTTTTAAAAATGTTTAAAGTATTACTAGCCAAAGGTCGGGTAGGTAAATTCTACTAATTTTAAGTGGCGGGTGAAAGAATCAAAGTAAATAGGTGTGTGGGCAATGGAACTCGCAGACACTTTTTAAATGCACTTTGAAAATAGATTTAAATTTGTAGCCTTTTTCTCAGAATTAACTATTAATGAAACATTGAGAAAATCTAATTATAGTAACGGTAACATCTACAAGCCATCGAAACTTATTGAATTAATAAAAGCACTTTGACGTTTTGGGCGTCGTCCGCCTCTGCGTAACCCGAATGGCACCCTTTCCGTCCGAGCGCTGGGAGCGAAACAGGTGTCGAAAACGGAGTTAATACAAAACCACAACATCATACGCGAACTTTACTTTTATAATCTGATTATCCAGATTATTTGAATATTTATAAACATAAAACCCAACCGGGGCGCCGTCTGGTGCATTAGCAACTTTAACTCGGGTTCCCGGCCGTGTAAGTTTTCCGGTTTTTTCCGTCGGGATTATGCGGAAAAAGAACGCGCTGCTTGAAAATTTAAAATTCTTTTTTGACGGCTCAAATATTAAAAACATTTGACTCTCAAGCTGTAATAATTGATCGCGCGATGGCACGGAAAGATGGCGGCTATTCGATTTGATTTGCACTTCAAATAGCCGGCGCGGATATACAAGCAATCAAACATTTTTGGTGCCTGATTCTATTTTGCTTGTACTAGTTTTTGCTGGTTACCTAATATGTCTTCTGCAACATAAAATGGCAAATTGTCATTTATTATTCACAGTCCAATTTTTATTTTTTTTTTAAATTTAATTTGAATTGAATTTAATTTAAATTCACAATTACTATACAACAATTACTAGATAGAGTAGTAACTGTATATGCCTAATTGTCCAGACTTCTGTCTTCAAAGAGGTTGGTAAATAACCATAAATCATAATCAGACCACAAAAAAAGGTTTGAAAATATTGAAACTCTACCCGAACAAATAAAAAGAGAAAAAATATACCATAAAACAAAAGAAAAGTAAGACACCTCAAATACTAATATCGAGAACTATAAGATAATTTGAAAATGTAATTAGTTCCCTGATATAAGTTTCACTTAGCCATAGTTCCAAAGTTAAAACAGACACACAAAAACTTGTTTATTCAATTCCAAATAACTTATAAACAATTTTTTTAATTGTTTTTTTCTCTAGTGTTACGTAAATTAGCAGGAATTAAATTATACAATTTGGGGCCAATATATGATACAAAATGTTTTCCCTGACTGTTTGCGCAATATTTAAAATTAAATAAATTATTTTTTCTACTCCCTTTTGTAAAATACCTAATTATACACCGATACAACGTGCGGAAAGCGTCACGTTTTCAGAGATTTTACCGCACGGCTTGAATGTTAATTTTATTTGTGTCGTTTTGCAAAAATGTATTCAAAAACTAACCAAAACTAACCAAAACTATTAGTGGTAGAAACACGTAGGCAACACGTTTACAGCACTTGGTGCATAATATACAACAAATTTCCTCGTGTTGTATTTGTGACAAATAAAATTTTTAAATTTTTCATTTGTGTGGTTGAAAAACTACATGCAGTTTTTATATACAAATTCCTAATTTCAAGTACATCCTCACAAAATAAGGGATTCGTTCGATATAGTCTTGGTTTTCTCAGTAATATATAGTTTTCTGTTCCTTTTTAATGGTCTGGATGACAGTTGTGACCTGTATTTATGTTATTAGGATTTATAATACTAATAATTAATTCTCATGGATCAAATATTTAATTACAAATATAAATGGAGAAAAAGGAAGGAAGAGATACCAGTGAGTGAGAGGCAAAATCTAATTGGCTGTAGCTACTTTCACTGTTACTTTTTTTCAAATCTCAGAAATACTTTATATATATATATATATATATATATATATATATATATATATATATATATATATATATATATATATATATATATATATATATATATATATATATATATATATATATATATATATATATATATATATATATATATATATATATATATATATATATATATATATATATATATATATATATATATATATAATGATCTAATAACTTTATATTTTGCTTTCGGTTTTACGTCAGTGCGGTATTTAAAACAAAATTCCATTTAATAAAATTTAAATAAGAATACATTTATTAACGGATGGCTCTATGGGATATGAAGAAGCGTGGAGTTAAATATTAAACCAGCACATGCGCTGATGGCTGTTGCGGAGACTTTAACCTTAGAAGAGCGACAGAAGATCCAAAAAATTAAAAAACTTAGCAGCAGTAATTTTAGAGGACGCAATTCACTGATTAAGAAAAATTTAGTGAAGAGAAAGTGAACTGTCATCGCCTTTGGCAGGGAGATTTATGAAAATAAGCCAACCTAAGAATAGGAAATCCTCTAGGTTAGAACAAATTATTCTTTCAAAATATTATCTTTTTATGTAAACAAATAAAAATATCTTTTCTAGGATGACTTTAAGATGTCAGCTTAGCAATCCACGGCCGCGTACCACTTCGGACTTTTCCGGTACTTTAGTCACGGGTTTGCTATTTTCAAATTTCACGTTTATGGTGATCACGTCAGACATCAATCAGTGGATATATGCGTGCTGTTTTGCAAAAATATGCCTAAAAACTAATGGTCGTAGAAAAAGTATAATATGCAACATGTTGATTAACTTCTTCAGTCACTCGTTGCTTGTTCCAATACAAATCATAATTAAATTATTTAATTTAAAAACGCCACTTTTATTTTTTTAACATATTTTTGACATATTTAGTATGATGCATCGTTACCACACTAAGCTGTCAAAATGTTCGGCGCTAATATTCAACAGGTGCCTAAATTAATCGACCGTCACGAAATTGTCGAATAAATTCGTTTTTTATTTTATTTGAACCGCACCTGCGCAAGTCCCGCCGAAGGTAAACTTTTAAATACGAAAATTGTGTAATTATATTAGCATTACTAACAATTTAAGACGGGAAGTGGCCACAAAAGGTCCCGCTTTTAATGTTTGTATTAAGGAGGAACGAGAATAAAAGCTGACAGCTCACATGTGGTTAGATTGTAAAGAATTTAAATGGTATCCGCGATGGGTCTCAGTTGTTTCTCCGTTCCTTTTTTATTATATTATCGAAACGAAAGCTCGCCGTGCCTAAACGCGATATAATGTCAAAAAGATGGATTACCAACGCGCACGGCGACTGCACGGGTGTGAAAGAGATGGTTTTGCCTAACGACGTAATCACTTAGGCTCTTTTTGTATGGTACGTCTCTTTGAGATGCCCGTGAACGGTTAATTTTTTTATTCGAAATGTTGATCAGCGGATACTTTCGCGCCTGACGGTCAAGACAAACGACCGTCATCATCAAAGGAGAGGCATTTGATACCTACGCATTTTTATTCTTTCCGATTCTCTCTTTTGTGTCATTCGGAATACGCAGTACGCAGTTACGAAGTTTGAATGATTGCTACCGACTTGAAGAATTAAATGGGACAATAATTATCAACTTTGTGGCTAGCCACTTCATGGGTAGATCTGCAAGGGCTACAGTTACGACGACGATCAAATTATAAAAAAAACAGTTTTAAAGCTTGGAAAATTTCCTTTTTAACGTTACCAGATCACTGGCGGTTTCAGAAAAACAGAGTTTAATATCTAGAAATCGGTTCCTTTTATGAAAAAAAACTTTTTTACACTATACCACGTAGTGTTCTTAGATTTTACGTATACCATGTTTCCGAGAAACCATCATCCACTTCGATTACTTCAAATATAGACTTGCATTTTCTTTGCAAGTGTATGTCACTTTGAAATTAGAAAAAAGTAGGAGTAAATATAAAAATTTTGTTACTTGCTCTTTCTTGATATTTGTAATTTGGATTACCTAATCAAAGGTATCGTCTGGAAAAATTGTTTACTAATTTAAAAGATTTGTATGAAAAATTGTGAAAAAAAGACATGGTGTGACATTAATATTATATGTTATCGAAATGTCCGGCAATAAATACGTCATCCAGAACAACATTCTAAACAATGTGAAAAAATACAACAGAATCTGAAAATGCGTCGAAGTTGATGATACTTTCTCGGATACGTAATTTTTTGATACATTTTGCGCCACCTTTTGAGAAAAATACACTTTCTTACTAAGTACTGTATCCTCCTCCACGCCCCATAATCATATAGTGTTTCCTGTGGCGTAACTCCTTTGAATTGTCGTGATTATAAATATTGAAATTAGTAGGTAGACAAAGTTGTTTATTTTCCACTGCTTGATGTGCGCCGTTTGAAGGGCATATGGTAGGTATATATTTTATTGTTGTTATACATATTTAGACTAAAATTAATTTTAAGAAAAAACTGTTTTAACACGTTTTTAGTGTTGGTTAGTCCTTATAATAAATAAATTGTTAAGCTTTCCGTTTGAAAATATACTATTGAGAACTAAATATATTAAAACGTATATTTTTATATATCTAGTACAAAATATACGTACCCTTGTAACAACAAATAGTCAAGAGACCAAGCTGCGCGGTCAATAGGTCGGGCAAAAAAGGATTTTTGAGACTTGTTGGTTCGGCAAGTTCGATTCAATTCTCGCCATTGTTTAGAAAATGAGACTTTTAACACGAGCTTTATACCATTGGGATAAGTCTGTATTGTTAAATTATTATTTTGGTAATAAAAATATTCACATTCTTATGTCACAAACACCGTAAAATCATCTCCAGGAAATCTTCATACGTTATACTGATCGTTCCGGAATAATCGACGTCCCTGTTCTTAAACTCGTCGGTGAACCTTTGAATTTGAATACAGGTAATTAGATATTGATCCAGAGAGATCTTTTTGGCTTTCGGGTTCGTCCTGGTTACCAAAAATTTAATAAAATCAGGACTGAAATTGATATCCAGGTGTTTCAGCGCGAAACCGAGCTCAGTTTCATCCAGATATCCGGACTTATCGCGGTCGTAGGAGTTAAAAGCGTTCAACCATTGTTTGATGTAGTAGTACAGCGATTCGAATTCTTTCACATCCAGGCCACCATTTTTATCGAGATCGAATAACCTGAAAACAAATATATTACCAAAAAAAAGAACATTTTTGCTAGGCAAAAATGATACCTGACAACAAACTTGCACGTGGCGTCTGAAAAATGTCTACCTTGGAAAACGTCGAAGGCCTGTTGGAGCTCCCTGGATGTGATCTTCCCCTCATTTTTGGTGTCCATCGCGTTAAACCATTTTTCCACTGCAGGGTGTATGTTGTTCGTGGGTCGGCCAAGACTTGACGTCACGAACGAGGCACTTTCCAATATCGAATGGTATGGTTTTCCCTCTCGCGCGTCTGCAAGGGAACGTTTCAGTTTGTTGGGTTACAATGTTGCAAATGGGTGTTACCGCGTAGGATGTTTGATAGGAGAACCTTTCTTCTTTCTTGAGTGGAGCGGGGTTTTGCGTTTACGCCGCAGCAGGATTTTCTCTGTGAAACTAAAATAATATCACTTTCAATGGATTATTTATTAACTACCGAGTGAGTTGAAGTTTACCTGTTTGCTTTTGTGAAGTATGGTAGTCTGACATGCCAGAAATACAGCAAATTTGGATGTGGGCGCGGATGACAAGTACTTCTACGAAAGTGATGGAAATGACATTCAGCCAAAAATTTATTTTCTAGTGACTGCCAGTCAAGTGTCAAATTCCTAGCTTTTCCCAGCCGATAGTTGGTCTCTAACTCTTAAAGAAAATGAAGATTTTTAAGTAAATGAGCTCCCAAGATTATGGCGCCATTTTCTCTATAAAGTCGTTAGCCATTTTTGATGGAGATGGCAAAACTATTTTCCGGCTAGGACCATTAGGCGAGGTAAGTTCGTATTATAGCCACTAGAGAGCGTAAGTGTAAGGCGAAATGGCGCTTAGTTTTTAAATCAATATTTTCCCCTATTGGAATTAACATTTTGTTCCATATTGCCATATTCCTATAGGCCACATTTACTAAGTTTTTTTTTTCAACGATTTTCGAGATAGTCATTATATACCTTGAGTAATTGTAGGGTCACCTTGTATAAGGAGGTAGTCAAAAATCTCGTAGTTTAATTTGGTTTGGCGGTTATTCATTGGTGGTACAAATTTTAGAATAATTCAACAAATTGCCCCAATTATACCAATTAGTTGAAGTTTATAAAGTGCATTTTCTTGTTTTAAACTGCATGCAACGACAACGCGACTCGTTTTTAACCTCAACTAATTATAATGTGGCAGAAAATAGCCTTTAATAGTTTTTTTTTGTGATTTATTCGCTAGGCAAGTTCTACCAGACCGTTAGGTTTAATTTCGTCGAAACCTCTCTTAATTTATGAACTTAATAAACTTATAACAAATTAGATAATAACATCTATATATGAATTAGCTTAGAAAATCGAGTTAAATGAAAATTGCGAAGCCTTAATATATTTTCAACTCTTGTAAACCGGTTGACTACACAGGTCTACAAAATTAAACTGTTTTTATTTTGAAAACTGTTTTGATAAAATTTTGGTAGGCTAATTTCAAAAATTCTATGCATTTATTTGTAGCACGTAAGATTTTTTGCAAATATTAAAGAAAAAAAAAACGATATTTCTAAAATAATTTATTTTTTTATTCAGTAAAAAAGTGGAATTCTAGTTAGGATCGTAGATAGGAATATTATTGCAATAACTACACTAGCGGTCCGTCCTGAGTAGAATATTGACATAACTCCTCTTGTCGATCCCGGTAAAAGCTTGATGTGACGCCAGTTGTCAGTAAATGCTTGTCACCAAGTCTGGACACTAATGCGTATGCATCCTTGTAAAGGTGCAAATCTCTAATTAAATCATTTAATTAGCTTTGGTTAATCACTTTCAGCTCTCTGAAATCTTGTGTGAAATCTGAGTCATCTTGGTCGGAATTAGATTCCTTGGAATCTGGGGATATGACGTTCTCTAATTCTTTTGGGGCAGTAGGTATCGGTACATTAGCTCCATGACGAACTGGTCGAACGAACAAAAGTAACAATCACCACTGTGATTCCTAGGCTTTCGCCATACCATAGGAACACCAAAGCTTAAACATTTCTTCCTTCCTTTTTGCCAGTTTCCTAATGCTTCAACGCAAACGGAACAATCAGTATGAGGAGCCCGGGACTTGTCGTGGTCACCAATTTTTACACCAAAATAAGTGTGGTAGCAGTAGCACGACGACCAATACAACCAAACTGGGCATAAGCAGGTTACAACGCGGTATTGACGCCTCTGCGTCAACTCAACGAATTCTCTAATCGAAATCTAATATTATCCAGTATTGGCAAATCACATTTAATTTCTTAAAAATCATGACTAAATAACATTTTTAAGATATAGAGCGCTATAAAAAAATAATGAATATAACGAATAATAAAAAATATGGCATTTCTTGGAAAAAGGGCCTCAAAATATAGAAATATGCAAACAGCTCTCAAACATCTAAATCACTGTAGACCTGTGCTATTTGTCAATTCTAAGTAGCCAGAACATTAACATTCCATTAAAACTAACGCTCATGACATTTATGGAGACTCTGTTAAAGAAACTTCAAGTTTTTGAGATGCGGGCATGAGGATGAGCAAGTTAAGCAATATAAGCCGCTCCGTCAAAAATATCCGCCATGACACATACAGCGAGTGCAGTTGTGACGTACATCTACTTCCATCTATTAGATCTATCTTAACTAAGAGAAATGTTGATTTTCAGTATTACATTAATCAATTACTTATAAACTAAATGGTATCTTTTACAAGGTGGTTTATGGTTTAAATATTTCCATAAATAAGTAAATGTTGTGTATCAAGTATTTATCAAGGCTCCAAAATAAGTAGTTTTAAAATTTTGAACTTCCGCCGTCAAACCAGTAACCCAGCTCGAGGCAGATTACAACTATTATACCAAGAACAACTTTCAACTGTCCACAAAAAACTCTGCAAGTGAAGAATTTGCATCGTAGTTCGTGTGCTAAAAGCTAGCTCCTTAGAAGGTATTCTCCCGCTGCTGCGCAACATACATATTTTTTCAATTAGCTAATACGCGTATAGTCATCATTCCGTCCTGTTTTTCGATTAACATTATCCCGGCAGACCGAGTTGGTTTGCATTTCGTCGAGTAACGTCCTAATTGATTTTTCGAAGATCCGGCGCTGTTTGGACATCCCTATAATGCGGCCGATCTCACGGCTCAGATACACGATCCGATATACTCGAATATAATCGATTCACGTTAAGTTTTCGCCCAGTCATCCGACAGGTACATGAAGAAGTGAACGTTACAACATTATATGTCAGGCGCGCTCTCTTGGGGCTCGCCCCATCGATGATGACTTCATCTATTGCTATGTATATATGTTTTGGGTTAATGAATGCGATCAAGATCGATTGGGTATTAACAGATAAAATATTAAGAGGTTCATTGTACTATCAATATTTCAAGATGTATAAAAAGGGCCTTCTCCGGAAGGCGGTAGCGCAGATTTGGACAGGACATTCCTAGCCTCAACAGGACTCTTAATCTACACTAAGAAATTCAATTTGTATTCAGAACCATACGTCTTAAACGGCAATAAGCTAATAATAACCTCTGTGCTGCTAATGATGGACAAAGTCAACGAATAAATAAAAAGAAGGAAGGAAATAAAGAGAAGGAAGAAAGCTGCCGACGACTTAAAAATATGTCTGTAGACCATAGGACGGATATCCAAATGTCATCTATCTTGAAGTAGGTTATCTGGTTATAAAACGTAATATTAAATGCAGTCATGGACATTGACCGAAGCAATACAAGAGATACTAGAAACACACGCGAAACTAAATTGGAATGATTTTCCTTCCTTTCCTTTCCTTTAACGAAAAGTGTTGACAAAGACACACGGCAAAGGTTATTTATTATGACTTTTAATTCGTTCCAGTTAACTCTTGTTAAATTTCCTTCTGGGATCAATTTTCCGTTAGGGAACTTGCGTTGTAACCAATCTTAGATTAGTGACTAATACGGCAGATATAGTTATCCTATTGAGTTTTATTGGACAATCGTGTGGTTATTGTTCTGGGCAAAAATGGCGGAGAACGAAAATCAAATGTCAGTTTTTTACTAATCCGCCAAAAATATGTCCGAATTTCAGAAACTGCCCTCAGCATTGTTATTATTGAACCGTGTTTATTTGAAAATAAAAGATAACTGTATACTCTGTCAAGTGCAGCATTTATTTTGTTTACTTTTCCTATGGAATATTTTCGAGTGCAGTTAATCGTTGTTTTGTTGTTTCCCCTTTCACTTGACAGCAGTGTCAATATTGTGGCGCCACTAAATAAGGAGACAGACAATGACGGTGCGTTTTACCAAAATATACGCACCTCAAGTGGCCCATTTAGCAGCATTTCCTTCGGACCTCTAGAATGGCCCTAATAAATGCTCTGAGAAGCCGATGCACTATTTTTAAACCAATCAAATGATTTAGTAGAACTGACATACTCTTTTGCTTATTATTTAAATAAGATTTTTGAAAAAAATTTTGGTTTTAACAATTACCAACCTGCGTTATTGAGAACAAGATGGTTGATCGACCAAATGCAGTGGGAAATTAATATTTGTTTCAGTTCAATGGTAAAATTTAATATCTTTTTTAGGTACACAAATAAGTAATGCTTTACAAAGCGGGAAAAACATTTAGCTCTTAATTCAAGGAAATTTTTACTTCTTCTTTTCTTTTGATTTCAAAGAATATTTCCTGATTTTTATCTTTGTGTATAACCTTACCAAATGAATTTGATCAGGGCTATTGCTAGATGTGTCTGAAAAAACAAAATTGATTTTGAAAAGATTATGAAAGCGAAAGAGATAGAAATTTTGATGATTTTTTGATAGACTTTCCTCATTTGAAGCATTAGTGAAAGTTCCAGTGCTGCTATCAGAATAAGAATGTCCATCCTAACTTCCTGGCCAATTGAGTAAATTTACTAGAATATTGACTTCCAAATAACAAGAAACGGTAAATATTTGTTAATTCCAAACGTTCAAGTAGCAAAGGAAATACGTGGCATGTACACGCAGTACACACACGCCTTTGCGCATCAAACTGTGAAGCTGATCTGTGTGTGTTGTAAACTTCATTAGTTTTTTGCTCTAACGTCGGAAACGAACTGAAAAAAACCGTTCTAGGAAATTAATTGTGGGATAGCCCGCAGATGTCAACGAGACAAATGCGAAAAATGTTGCGAAAGCCGTAAAACGTGAGCTGGAAGTGTCTAGAATCAATCATACTGACACTTAAATTAAATAAATTTTTACCTACGCACGCGACTATTTTTTTCGTTGTTATGATTAATGACTTAATTTTTAATCGTCTGCACATTTAACATGCGTATTGCGTTTCCGTTGCGTTTTTTTTTTGTTCGTTGCAAATAACTGAATTTTCGACGGATGTCATTAACTTGGAATTCGAAATTAAACAAGAGTATCCTATCGCTTTTTTTAATATTAAATTTTGGCATATGTTTTATTTGAATCAATATTGCTTTCAAATTCTATTTTACGTAAAAATTTCGCCATATTAGATTTAAGATTTTACTCATTTTGGTCGGTCATTTGAAAGTTGTCGACAGAATCATTAATTAGGCTGTTTAATTTGCTTTATTTGATGGAATCAAAATATATTTTATAACGAACAGAGTGAGGGGATTTATATCATTGTTTTTTTTTGGAAGTGTTACTCAACGTCCTAGTGCAATGCAACCTACAAACATTGCAAATTGCAAAAAACACCCGGTAGTTGGTAGCATACCAAATTTCCTTTCATCAATCCTTGCAAAACTCCGCCAATGCCGGTCCTAAGCCCGGATGAAAAAGGAGGAAGGTTGTCGGGCCAGGCCAGCTCCCTACCCGACGTAAAAAGACATTATGGCTCACAGAACCGATACTCTGCCTCGGAATAGGATTGACTCACGGATAACGACACACGCAAGAAAACGGATAACGGCATGGAATAAAAAATATATTGTGCGATTTGCCACCTGGAACATAAAATCATTTAACAACAAAGATCAAGAAACCCTGAAGGAACTAAAAGATAATAACATCGACATATGTGCCCTACAAGAGACCAAAAAGAAAGGTAAAGGCCAAATGCATTTTAATGATTACCTAGTGATTTACAGTGGTGTGGAAAAGGAAACAAGGGCAAAAGAAGGAGTAGCAATTGCAGTATCTAAGAAGTTCCAAAACAATATACAAGAATGCAATTACGTATCTTCACGAATCCTGGTTGTAAAAATGAAAGCAGAGGACCAAAGATTGAACATTGTGTCAGTGTACTCACCTGAAGATAACAAACCAAAGCAAGAAAGAGAATCCTTTTATGACCAACTCCAAAATACAATTCAGTCACTGCCCAATGACCAACAAATAATAATTCTTGGTGATTTTAACGCCCGTATCGGAAATGAAACAATACCTGGAATCAAGCAGAGATTTAACGAAAACGTGTTAAATGATAACGGAGAACTTATGATCCATCTATGCACGCTTAATGAGCTGCGAATCAACAACACATTTTTTGACCACAAAGATCAATATAAATTCACATTCAGCAACACTAGAGGCCACAGGTCTACAATTGACTATATTGTTACCAACAGACACATCCACCCACTCCAGATACTCGACGTAAAGACACTGAACTCTGCCGACGTGGGAAGCGACCACAGCTTGCTACTCGCCAAAATCAAAATAAAATTTAAACATCGAAAGAGTCCAGAACACGTAACACAGGAATCTAAAATAAACATCGATTCACTATGGGACCCATCGATAAGGCAACTATATGAAAGGAGACTGAAAGAAAAAATCCAACTAAACAAAATAAAAGAAGAGGATAGTATAAATGCTTCCTGGGAAAAGCTGAAGACCAACAGGTACCCGAACAGTAAAAATGAATAATAATAACACCAGAACTCCATGGTTCCGCCCAGAAATTAAGGAAAAATGTAAAGAAAAAAAATAGCGTACCTCACTTACAGGACTTTACGAACACCAGAATCCTACGAAATATATAGACGAATCCGAAACGAAACGACAGCATTAGTAAGACGAACAAAGGACCATCACTGGGAAATTTTTTCAAAGCGAATGGACTCCAAAAGCAAATTTGGCGATTTATTAGAACCCAAAGAAAGGAAGTGAACGAACTAGTCGAAACAAATCAGATAACAAAGGAAACCTGGGTTAACTACCTAACCGAATTGTATGAACCAGAGAAACCTGAGATTGAACTGAATACACCCGAAATAGTGACGAATCGCAACGCAGAAATTGAGGTAGCCGACGTAGCTGCAGCTCTTCAAAAACTAAAAAACAGGAAAAGTCCAGGTAAAGATGGTATCCCAAACGAGTTACTTAAATATGGTGGCCCGTGTCTTGCACAGCAGCTAACATCCCTCACTCGGAAAATTCTCTACCAACATAGAATACCCGATGACTGGCGAACTAGCATCACTATCCTTATGTTCAAAAAGGGAGATAAGAAAGTACCCTCAAACTACAGAGGTATAAATCTCTTAAGCACTGCACTGAAACTTACAACAAAAATTATAGCAAACAAAATCAACAACTTAACACCCTTAGCCGACGAACAGCAAGGATTCAGATCGGGCAGATCATGTACAGATGCGGTTTTTGTCATAAGACAGATAACAGAAAAATCAATTGAATACAACAGACCGGCATACATGTGTTTCGATCGAGTGCGATTAAGAGACGTTTTACACCTCCTCTACAACAGACAAACTCCACACAACCTCATCAAAACGATAGTAAATATATATGAAGCAAACCAGATCGAAGCAAAAATAAATGGGATCCTGACTGAACCAATAGCAGTGGGCCGAGGTATCCGACAGGGAGACTCCCTGAGTCCCCTTCTCTTCAACATTATCATGGACGAAGTAATAAGAAATGTACGATTACTGAGAGGATACAGAATGGGCGACCATGAAATCAATATTCTGTGCTACGCTGATGACGCCGTACTGGTGGCTGAAAGTGAAGACGATCTGCAACGACTATTACATCGATTTAACTGCACTGCCAAATCACTTAATATGATAATATCGGCCCAAAAAACTAAATGCATGACAACATCAAAAACACCATTAAGATGCAAATTAGAAGTTGAAGGCAAAATCATCCAGCAGGTAATGAAATTTAAATATTTGGGCATAGAAATCTCGGGTTATGGTGATGTGGAGGCAGAGGTCAGAGAGCAAACAACAAGGGCAACAAGAATAGCAGGATGCTTAAGCGACACAATTTGGCGAAATAAAAACATTAAAATCGAAACCACATCGAGAATTTACGAGGCAATAGTAAGACCAACCATGACATACACCGCAGAAACCCGACCAGACACAGCGAAAACTAAACAATTACTAGAGACAACCGAAATGAGGATACTTCGCAGAATAACTGGAAAAACGCTCTTGGACAGAGAGAGGGGAGCGAAAATATAAGACGAACATGCAGGGTGGAAAACGTTAATGCGTGGGTATTGCGTAGAAAGAAAGAATGGAACGAGCATATTAGTAGAATGGACAACAGAAGAATAGTCAGAATTGCACGCGACAAATCACCATTGGGTCGCAGGAGCTTAGGTCGCCCCCGAAAACGATGGAGTGACAACCTGGCAGTGGGATAGGCAGAGACGACGAAAATGAACAGGCAATTTGCCTAGACTAAAGTAGGAAGAAGAAGAAGAAGAATCCTTGCAAAGGATTTTCAATTTATTAGGTTGTGTTGTCAGTTAATCTTTTGAATGATTTTATTAATCACTTTATACCTCGCATTACACGTTATGGAAATGTGTTTAAAATTTGCTGTTGGTTGCTTGTTGGTAAGCCTTCATCAAAAAATTATACGAAACTAAATAGGAAAAATATTATTATAAATAGGAAATTAATACACCTAGGAACTACTTAGTTTAAAAAGTCATAGCAATAACCCACTGCCTTTTTTCGGTTTGAATACAATGATTGTTAATTTGATTTGGTTAGTTGGTTTGGTTTTTTCATTACCAAAAAAGTGGATATGTGTAGGTTTCAATTTCTACAAAAGCAGTGTTAACCTTTTATTTATTGTTCTATAGTTTTTTTTTACTATAATTGTTATTTATGACCGTCGGATTTTCTTGGGTGAAACATAGCTAAGTCGAGCGTGCAAGTTTGCACCTATTTTGAGATTTTACTGTTATGTCACTTTCGTAATTTCTGTACATTGTCGCATAAATATTTTGTTATTCTGGACGTGCCATATGCTGTTGTATAACTTAATGGTTAATAAAGGTTTATTTTATTATTAACTGATACAAGCTCGGTTGCTCTGTTTTGGGTAGTTTTGGTTAGTTTTACATTACGTTAAAAGGTTAGGTAAGTAGGTACAGTTTTCTTTATATTTTTAAGGCTCCGAAGATCACGCTGATCACATGAATCACATGCTTATAAGAAACATTATTTTCATATTTATATAAAGACATTAAATGTAACAACCAATTCTAAAACGCAGCTTATGAATTTGTTGCAAAAGTTTTCCCCTCTTAGGGTTCTAACATATTCGCAGTGCTGTTGTTATTATCTATATTATATATATTAGGTATGGCGGATGCATTGCTCATTTTTTAAAATGAACAAAAAAGAAACTAGTAAAATAAATAGTTTTAGTACACTTAAAGGTTTTAAAAAATCGTTTCATTTTCACACTTAAAACCCAAAATATTCACTATTTTCGAAACTTACTTAGGGGTTAGTACTATCAATACTGCCCACTCTTTAAATTTTATCATCGGGAACAGGGGTAGCGTTGATCTTCGGTAACTAACTTCCTCTCATGCGGGCACGCTTCAAATAAGGGATAAAGTAAAACTATTTACAAACCGTTAGCAATTTCGACTCAGCAAGGACCGACGCATTAGGAATGCAGAAGTTTTGTTAAAAATATTACAGTAGCCTGTGGAAAATTATAAAGTAACACGTTACCAAAACAAGAAGGCCGCGTCGCCCTTTCCGTCGATTTGAAGCGCAATGAGAAATAAGTTGATTTTCTCTTCTCGACGAAGACATTAAACCGTCGACCGCTGTCCGATATTGTTGTTTGGATACCCGGCGAGTAATCTATAATCACTTTTCCCTTCGCTAACACGATCAGATTATATCGGTTATTATCTCGTCTTAATAAATTCACTCGGGTTTTTATTCGCTCTCCGGCCTTTAAATTGAGTTGTCTGCGTTGCCGTGTAACGTATTTGTTTTAGAGCCGAGCCACACAATCAATCTCATGCTGAAGGATGATAAAGCCGTTTTGCCGTATAGTGGTGGCGCCCCACCGAAGATGACAAAGCGGTGCGTGTTCGAATATTGCAGCAAAGTTGTTTTAATGAGTGATGAGGAACGGCCGACGGTGTCGCTGCTCTACATAGAGACGAGGATTTGACACGGGTCGATTGATATCTCTCGTATATTTTACCATTCCGAATGTCATTCCGATGCCATCGAAAAACGGAGAACACTTTTTTTTGGGTTGACGGTCGAATCTGCGAAACTTCGCAACTTTCGCAGCTTCGTTCCACCAATACTAATTAATGTATTAGCTTAGTACCGACAAGCACAGGGTGATTCCCATTTAACCTTCTGGGCCTATGTCAGTGCAACGAAAAAAAAAAGTTTTTCTCTATTGCATCAAATAGTTTTTTATTGACAGCATTTTAAATTGAGTATAGAGAGCAGTCATAAAGTTTTTGACAAAAGAAGGGTTAGCACCTAAAATTATTAAAGATAGGCTATATGGTGTGTACGGCCAAAGTTCTCCTTCGTATTCTGTAGTGAAAGAATGGGCAAAACGTTTTCGAATGGGGCAGGAGTTCCTTAAAGATGATTCAAGAACTGGTCGACCAGTGGAGGTCATAACGGAAGATATTGTTGCGATTTTGGAAGAGGTGGTACTGAGTGATCGACATTTAAAGGTCAAGAAAATCTCAGAACTTACTAAGCTTTCTGATATAAGTGTTCGTCGAATCCTGCATGATCATTTAGGTGTGCATAAGGTTAACGCGGTCTTTTTTGGAACTCCGTGGTCCAGAACCGAAGCCTGTAAAAGAAACTATACGAGAGATGAAACTATGGTTCTCTATTATGACCCTCTGTCGAAAAAAGAATCAATGGAGTGGCGTCGTAAGGGTGAAGCACCTCCAAGAAAATTCAGAGTCTGCCACTCAACAAAAAAAGGGGATGGCCACGATCTTTTGGGGGTTGTGAAGGAATTCTTTTGATTCATTCTAAAGAAACTAATACCACTGTCAATGGTAAATATTACGCAACATTATTACATAAATTGCGAGACTGCATACTTGTAAAACATCGAGGAAAACTGACCAGAGGCGTGCGTCTTTTGCACGATAATGCACCTGGTGGTGTTGCACAAGCTGCCATTTTAGAGTGTGGGTTCCAACAGATAGATCGTCCTCCCTATAGTCCAGATATGGCCCCAGGCGATTATTATTTGTTTGGATATTTGAAAGAGGACCTACGTGAACGGCGGTTTAACGACGAAGTTAAGTTAAAATAGGCTGTTTTAGCTCATTTTGCAGACAAACCAAAATAATATATTCTTAAAGGGATTGAGTTGTTCATAAAGAGATGTATTGAAGTTAAGGGGGATTATATTGAAAAATAATGAAAAAATGTTACTCTGTCCATTAATAATGATCCATCTTTCTCCATGTGTGGTATTGAAAAACTGAGTACTGTCATGGTGATTCCAATCGAGGAAAAACACTAAACTAGTCATAGCCAGTGAACCAGTAGAGGTAAGGAAAAACTTTTCATATTAAAGTGTTGTAAAATATGGAATGGTTGTGGCAAAAAGTGTAGATGACGTCACATTCGACATTTAAAAAAAGATTGAAGGTAATTATACCTCAACGAATGTCTTTTCTCCAAATCAAAACATTTTGAATTTGTATTTTTTTTCGTTTTATTGATATAGGTCCAGGGCGCTAAGTTTGAATCATCTCGTACAAAACGTGATCAACATTTGAATTAAGCCCCGATTAACAAAACTCTTAATTCCAGCGAGTGCAGCCCTAGTCCTCCGTAGTCAAACCTTTGTAGAAGAAAAGTCGTCAGAAAATGTAAAGCTTCGCCGGCAATGATTAACACGTTTGGTCGGGACTACTGTAACTGGAGCCATTCGTAACTTTGAGAAAATTGGTCCGCATTTTCGTTTTTTTTTTCAAATTGCTACTAGAGGCGCCCGTGTTCTAATTGAATTTTAGAGTGTAAATTTTCCTATAGGTGTAACTTTTAAAAATAAACCGGTTTTATATGTATTATACAATGCAAGCCGACTATTGTTGCTATCTATTTATTATACAGCTTGTCATTTTCTAACTACACTACATCTATATCTAAAACTGGAACTATGAAAATGTTGATGCACTACGTTCACGGTGTGGCCGTTATATATGGTAAATCCAACGAATGAGTAAAGTGATTTATTTTGTATGTAAATATATTAAATAATTCCCCTTCACCAAGGAATCTAGCCAACCTTATATTCTAGTTTTGCACTGACAATTTCTTCATGATTCAGTTCATGGATTTAGGTCAAGAACAAATTTGACGACTGTAGTACACCACATTCATATCAAATACCCAAATATTCGAAGTTCATACGTTTATTCACGAAATAGAATTTATTCTAATTTTCTTCAAATGTTTGCGTCAATTCAGTAATACCAACCGTTAAAATATATCAAAAAGCAAGGTTATATCTTTATTATAAACCAATAAACGCGTTCACGTCAACAATTTTGTGTCAAAAAACAATAAAAAAATAAATTGTGTTAACCTACTTATACAAATTCATCCTTAAAAGTTTCTTACATTACTCTACCTTTACCTGCTGCTGTAGTCATGTTTGGGATTTCCCGACATCCTCAAAAACTCTTACTTTTGAAACTCTCTTTTAACCAATTTTAATTGTACTTAACTTTTTCTAATGCTTGTATTTTGTATGTTAGGTTTTATGTAGTCCTGAATAAGAATTCGTTAATTATTCCCAGACTTCAGGTTGATAAAATAAGAAACATTTTCATTTTTGAATAGATGCAAGAACGTTACGTTTATACGAAACGCCAATTATAATTGAAGATATTTAAAAAATATGAACTTTAGCTTTTTGTTGTGTCTTGTATATTTTGTAATATAAAGTAGTGTCCCTACCCTGTATCGCTGATATACCTAGTATTTTATTTTATTCAGCCACTGTAGAAAATATTTCTTATTTGTTTTTGATACGATGCGACAAAAACAATCTGTAAAACATTAATAACCAAGATTTTGGGATCCCTAAATATCGCAACCTACTTATCAGGCCACCCTGAAGTTTAAATGTTACAAATAATGCTCCAGTACAAGTTATTTATTATTTATTAGTTATTATTTATTTTATTTGGTTAAGTGCAAAATGAAAATAATCATAAGCTTTTGCATCGGGTTATGTAACAATATTTATTTATTTAAAACTAATAATAACAATGTTAATAACTTGAGTTCGATCAATAACAATTTCTTTTACAGTCTTTAGCTTTCGCCATTAAATTTCTAGGCTAATCCAAAAAATTAATGCTCTCGAAAAGGAAGGCAATTATATACCAACTCAAATTGAGGCTCATTCCCCGGAATGTAATAATGGATGCATCGATTTTATTGGATATTGATTTAAATTGACTTATTAGCTCGATGGCTGCAACGTGGTTATTGCAATTTCGGAAAGGGGGTAAAAGTTCCATCATTGGTATAACCCTATACCCGTTATTAAGTAAATGACTGCAGCTGTTAATATGGACGTCACATTATCAGTTTGCGATACAAAAGCGTTTACGTACGAAGTGGACAACAAACCGCAATCACGACGAGAGCAAATCAGCTGACAAAATATAAGACAGCTGAGGTATTGAAACGCTACCGGATTCGAATTATTGCAGCATCCTCGGTCCAAATGCCGGGGTTCATTAGTACTAGAAACTGGTTATTAGTGGTCGGCATTGTCATGAATACGTTAAAGATCCGTCTTTTGAAACCTCGAGTGTTTTTTTAAAAAATATTTACCGCTGCAGGATGTAACTCTTTATTAGTCCAGTTTTAAATGCGACCGTGGTTTTGAAGTATGAATTTAAAATGATGGGCCATAATTGGAAAGCGGTTAACCAAGATTTATATTCGATTTGACTTTCTAATAAAGGATTCTTATTTTTATTATATGACCCTGATTAATAACTTTTAAAAGAGAAAGAAACGAAGGTATTACTCGCAACTTAGTTTTAATTGTACCAACCCTCCTCCACCCATTTATTTTTCGACTAAATGCAGATCGAGTGATCATTCTCTTCCAGTCTTTCTTCAAAATCAGATTCGATTATTTTGTTTCCTGCCGCTTAAACTTCCGGTCTATCGACTTTTCCTTTTTTAATTATTTTAGTTTTTATATATCGTCACCCTTATTTTAGTTATCTTTTCCTTCGTTTATATAAATAATCTTTCTTATTGTCTGTCTTTTTAATGAGCTCCTTAAAGGTTAACCATTTTCATAGTTTTTCTAAACTTTTTTCATTTCAGCTTTGTTTATTTCGTCTACCAAAATCTGAGTATAAAAGAATAGAATGTACATATTTATAGATTGTAATAATTTGTAGATCTTGCGCAGCAATGACAGGAAAATCTCATTAATTAGCCAATGAAACAAAACTTGTTTGTTCTTTTGTGCTATAATTCCCCCTTCGTATTCCTGTGATTGGTTCATCCTGTCCCATGAATTTACTACCGCAACAATTAATTAATCGTGTCGTCCATGATTAAAATTAGTCAATGTGATGCTTTAGTTTGAGGAGAAAGCGGTATAGTAAATCAACCGGAAAAGCAATTTTTAGGTTTGCCGTTCCGCTTGTGGAAAGATTTCCTTTTCTATTAGAATTTCCATCTGCTTTCCCATATCAATCCCAGTTTTTGAAGTCCAGACCTTAAAAGCGCGATTGAATTCAAAACGCCTTGCTGTAATTTTTAAAATGACAAATAATAAAAACGTGACCAAAGAACTAGGGAGTATTGGGAGTTAGAACATTGCGAAAATGAGATTGAAATTGTTCTAATTTCCTTAGTTCAAAATAATGTAGAAGAGTATTTAACATGTTAGTATATTTAATAATTAAAATTATAATGGCGTGCCATTACGTGAAATACACAAGTAATAACAAGTTTTATAATATGTTTCTAACTAACTTTCAATCGTAAGGATCTCCTTCAACTGTCCATGTATTTTCTTCGATCCCGATTTTTTGTAGATCTAGCTAGCTAATCTCATTCTGTTAGGTTCTAGTCACACAATCGTAATATAGAGGAAAATCGCCGGTTTCAGCTAAAATTTAATTATTTAGTAAGTTCTTTGGTGGGTGCATCGTAAAATTTCTTACTTATATTGGGCTGTAGTTGTGTTCTTTAATTTCGGGAGTGTTCAGAATGTGTTTTTCCGCTGAACTTCCACGTTACCTGAGTTTACATTGCATTAAAATTACATTTTTTCTTGGGCGCATTCGAACCAAAACAACACGGCCATTTTATTTTTATTATTTTATAAAGCGGGAATATGACATTAATTTGGCAATGAGCGTAGCAGAAGAATTAACACCGCAAATTAAACCGCGACAAATACCTGTAGCTTGCCTCTTTTACCTTTCTTCGCATACATGACAAAGAGGAAAAGAATCGTCAAAACGTACACCGTAGGAGATACGAAAAAAAGGTTCCAGGATTCTCCTGAAGATTTAAAATCTCTTAAGAAATTCCTATTCAAATTTTGCATAGTTTAGACTAAAAATTGAGTTTGTGTGTTTTTTTTTTATATTTTGATTGCCCCATATAAAATTGTGTTGTTACGCTGCTGATGCAGGTTGCAACCAAAACTTAACCACAGGAGATGATGCACTACTCAATCAGTTTGACAGATGCGCTTCAGCTTATACAGTGTGTCCCAAATAGGTGGTGCCGTTTTGGCGAATTCAATTAACAAAATCTCAAGATTTTCAAATGGTGCACACTATATTTTTATTCAGATATCAATTTATCTTATATTTAAATTTTAGTTACTTACCTTCCAAATTCTTGTTGAATTTAAAGCTGCCCACATTAGGTCACTTGTTAGCAATATTAGGAATTTTTTTAATAGGAAAGACATGATACTACTTCTTTTAAAGCTATAACACTCCATACTTTTTAAATAGAGGTATGAAAAACAAACAGAAACGTCAATGTTTGTTAATACCTTAACTTCACTACATTTTTAAATATTTTGATATTTCTTTGTTGTTTTGATGCCAGATGAAACGAACAGTTTAAGAGGAACATTTTTAACTAAACTTTATGGATCGAAATAACGAACTCTTTTTAGTTCACTTGTTGTTTTATGGATTAATTTATTCAAAATTCTTACTTTGTTTAGTTAGCCTATATATTTTAATTATTTGCTTTTGTTATTAGGTATTTTCAATCAATCAATTAACTAATAAATGTTTTTTTAAATACGAATTCTCAAGATTTATTAAATCTGTTAAAGAGTCCATTTTTTTTTAAAATTTCCACGTATTAACGGGCACCCTGTATTGTGAGCAACAGGTTTTATTCGTATATCTAGAGTATTATATCTTTAAAAGATGTAGTACCTTTACTATTTTAAAAATACCTAATATTTATCATTTATACGGGTTTTATCTCAAAATTAAGTAAAATTTAAATATAAGAAACATTACAAACTTACCTTATTTTTTGTCCTAGAATTGATGTCTGAATAAAAATATAGTGCGTTAAATTTGAAAATCTAGTGATTTTGTTAATTGAATTCGCCAAAACGGCACCACCTATTTGGGACACCCTGTATAAGCCGAGAAGCATCTGTCAAACTGATTGAGTAGTGCATCATCTCCTTAGTCTGCGGTTAAATTTTCGTTGCAATACCTGCGACACAATTTTATATGGGGCAATAAAAATATGAAAAAAAAACACATACTCTCAATTTCTGCCTAAGCGATGCAAAATTCGAGTAGGAATTTCTTAAGAAAGTGACCTTTATTTTAACCAAGGATTCCAAAAGTGTCGAAATATACTGAGCGGTTTTTAAAATTTAAAATAACAAAGTTGATGCCTGGGGGAACACTTTTGGAACACCCTGTATCAACAAAATTGTAATATTTTAAATCTTCAGGAGAGTCCAAGAAATTTTTGTTCGAAATTTTTTTTCGTATCTTTTATGGGCTTCCAGATCGTATAGTGGATCATTTTATTTGGCATATGGTGTACATTACTTCGTTATTTCAGTTTTACCAATTTTATTACCGAATCCTCGAAATTTGTTGAGTTTATATAGGTAGAGTTCCACATATTTCGATTTTCTTGGATTCTAGTTATTGTTGGCAATGTAGATTTTGGTTTCTAGAAAAGAAAGTAGAGCTGGATTTACTCTCCCAAGTGTAAATCGTAAATCGATATAGGTTTGGTTTGCATTTTGTGGTTATCGATATTTCCTCCGTAAGGTATTTAATAGCCTTTCTACCGGCTTGACAAAACCCAACCACTTTTTTTTATGTACCGACGCCATGGTTCTTACTTCGTGAACCTTCAAGCTACTAGTTGTGGTAAGCCGCCTATCTGCATTTCTCCTAGTTTCTAAGTAGGGTATTTTCATTTTTGTAGGGTTTCTTTTCCTTCCCTTTTTTTTGTCTTACGGGACCTCTATGAGTTTGGAACCAAAGTCAGTGCAGCTAAGTACTATTTGCACCTTTTTTTATTTACTTAAATACTACAATATGGAAGTAGTTATAGCATAGTTTTTTTACGCGCCATATACGGCTCCGGAATTTATAGTTAATACGACACAACTTTACTTCTTTTATTTCTTTTGCCTTTCGAACTGTAATGTGAAACATGATCATGCGTAGCTGGCTAACATTCATTTTACGGATTTTTGCGATACCTTTGAGCTGTATCTAAGGTATTAGACTCCTGTAGTTAAACGGGTTTTGTGTACAGCTCATTGAATCAATTTGTTTTTTTCTGCTTTTCCAAGTTTTTATAAGAAAGCTAATATACGGTCGGTATATACCTAATATACATATTAAGATACAAAATTTCGTAGCACCCTATTCTCCAAACATTTGTTTTTTTTTTTATATGGGCAACTAAGAATCAGGACTATCAGCTTTTGTTAACTGTAAGCAACCCACTTGCCCTACCGAGAATTAAATTCTGTTTGAATTCACTAGTTTTCTTTTTTTCCTCTTTAACTAAACTAGTGAATATCTTACGGCAACCATTGCCTTTTTTTTCTTACACCTCCTTTTTTTACAAGATTTCGTGACTCTTGAAGAGACAGAGCAAGAAACTCGCAGCAAATATCCAGAACGGATATCAATAATACAAAATTATTGAAATAATACTTAAAATCGTGATCCCAACTACAGTCCTGAATCAAAAAAAAGAATTTAAATGTTAGATGCTCCATTTTATTTAAAAAGTTTCTATCAAGAAGTGTTTAGAAAATCAAAATATCTTTTTATTTTTTAAATCGCCAATTTTTCAGTTGTCCCTCGTAGCTTACAAAGAACAAGTTCAATTCAAAATTTTATTTTTTGAAATCTCAAAGAGTAGGGCTGTAATGCGCAAAACGGAAGACGATATGTTCACTAATAACGGAGTTTCCAGTAAATGTGACATCCTGTATAAAATAAATCTGCTTCTTCATCTTGAAGGTAGGAAATTAAATGGGAATTTTCAAATAGTTTTTATTTTTAGTTTAGTAGAATTAGCGGTACACTTTTTCTCCAAAAAGATTGGTTCGTTCTAAACATTTGCGTCAAAAATGACCTTTAATGTCTAACAGACGTGTCAAAAATTAATTTAAAATATTGAATTAATAAATCAAACAGACTTTTTTCATTAGCTATATGGTTGTAACTTTTTCAACAAATTTAAACTGTTGTAAAAAAACTGAAATCTTTTTAGCTTCTATATTGATATTGTAGCCCTTTATTGGACCGTAATCGGAGCACCAAAAGTAACTAAAGATATAAATCTACAAAAAGTATACATGATTAAAATGTTGAACATAAAGTTGATTGAAATCCAATCAATAACACAAATCACACATCACAAACATTAAATTGAGTAATATATTATAATACAATTGGGCCAGAAAAACAACACAGAGATTTTCTGTAGCTACTATTAGTGTTCTGAAGACGGTCCCATAAAGGGCAGAAACTTGAAAATAAAAGTCGAAAATATTTCAGTGTTTTTATTGAGCAATTTGAACAACATTGTGCAAAATTAAGCATTTCCACTTCAAAAACCAAAATATGGTTTCTTCGAAAAATATTTGATCCAGTCGCGTAAAGAGACGAAATCAAACCGCGCGACGTATCTGTTGTGGGCGAAGTGATAACATCCGGAAGACTCCGGGAGACGAGTGATATTGATCCAGTCGGATCTGGTCAGTACAACCAATCGGGCTCCGGCACGCCCAGCGCATGTTAATATTTATACATTCGGCTCACAAAAGCGGGATAACTCCAAACTTCCAATCATTTCGCGCAATTTATTTCAATATCCGCAGCGAATAATATACTATATAGGTATATGCGCTCATCTTTGTGCGCCTGTATGATATTAAAAAGTTATCGAGCACACACACCTTTGCCTCCACGTCGTATACCGAAACAGTTCGATTGATTGTCGATTGGCTTTTTCGACGTTTTCAAATTAATTTTAACGGGAATGATTGATACTTGGTTCGACGGTCTGTATAGATCGACGCCATTATAAACGTGCACTAATTTATCAATTCGAATATGCCGGTGTCGATTTTCCCGCATAAACGTCGGATTAATACGAATTGACCCTTAATAATGCCTTCACTTTTATCAACTGATAACTCCAAGAAACAATGAAAGAATAACCTATTGCCCAATATCGAAGGCAAATTTTCATTCATGGTCTTCAATGTAAAAGTGTATCAGGATGTAAGTGAGCTAGGCGAAAATTGCGATTCTTGTGGGTTATTGTGCAGAGTGAGTCAAAAGATAGGTCAGTCGGTTAACAGATACCGTCAAAGTCAAAATATATGGAATATATAATAATATTTTTCTTGTTCGCGACCGGTTGTTATATGTTTTAAAAATTTCAAAAATTTTTCCCATACATAAAGGTGGGGAACTCGCTGCAAACAACTTTAGACTTATGTCTATGGTACCTTGTATATCAAAAATTCATTGAACCAGAAGTAAAACACCAAATTAACAAACATTTTGAGAATTTTGATCTTTACCAGCAATACGAATTCAGGGAGGGTGCTATCAACAAGCTGGTTAAAGCCATAGTAAAAGGACAAGAAGAAGGCAACTTTACGAGTGCAACATTCTGTGATATTACTAGCGAGTTCGTCTGTGTAGACCACTCGACTCTATTTGAAAAATTAAAATACTTGGTGGATTTCTAGCTGTTTATAACAATAAAACCTCGAGTACATTGGCAGTGGGAAATGGGGTTGTGCAGGGCTCAGTAATGGTACCTACCCTCTTTCTCATATATATCAACGACCATCCTAAAGCCCTTTGAATGGGTGGCTGGCGTTGTTTGCAAACGACATTACTTTCTTAATAAAAACATCTTACTGAAGCCCTTAATGAAGCTAACTCTGCCTTAACAAGAGCTAAGGACTGGTTAGCAAAAAGTAGCTTAACTTTCAACGAAGAGAAAACAGTTTCATATCACATCAACGATGTAAATAATGGTCAAAGTGCAAAATTCTTTTGAATTCATTTAGATCCTGTACTAAATTGGTGTCACCACAACTAAGTGACTAAAAAAATTCAAAAAACATTTTTCTAATACGTAGCCTAAAGGGCACTGTAGATTGTAACATATTATTCACAGCATGTCATGCTCTAAGTGACTCCCATTTGTTTTATGTTTATATAAACTGGGGCCGGGCTCCCAGTGTAGCAACAGTCTTTGGCCTACAACGCAAGGTAATTAGAATAATCACAAACTTCAAATATTCAGAATGTTAGATCTAAATTTTCGAAACTTCATAGTCGTACACTGCTAAGTGCTTATATACTTAAGTGTCTAGTTTACGCTGGCGAGAATCAAACAGAATTTTTACATATGAATAAAGTTCACCCCTACAAAACACGGAATAGAGACAACATCAAATCTCAGTAGGCTAGGTTCCCCACCCATATTCTCAATAAACGGGTTCAAAAACTTAGTCAAAGATTTTTTAATAAAGCTATCCTTTTACAGCCTGCAAGAGTGTATCTTTTTTTAAGATATCAACAACTATATCTAGTTAGATGACTCTTCGACTCTCTGCTTTCGGTGATAAGTTTCTGTGATAATCTTTGTCCAGCTTTAATGTATATCCGGATGCTCACAGAGCGCTTTATGTTTTACATATTATGTATATTGTATATTCTCAATATTATGTTGCAAAATTGTTATTCCATGTTATATTTTATTGCCACAACTGATTGTATACATTTTCTATGTTTGTAAAAAATGTAATACAGTTCGAGTTGTTATTTTTAATCTGTTATTCAGTTTTAATTTAACAATTGAAGCGTGGAAATGCCAAAGGCGGTATGTGTCAAAATTACATTTTTCAGATAATATTATTATCGGGGTTCGTAAAAATAAGGCAAATGCAGGTTACTCGGGACATGCGGAGGGACACGTACCCAAAATGTTAATATGTCAACCAATGACAAATACCCCCTTTGACATTTGCACTCTTCAATTAATGTGCAAAATTTCAAAACCCTCAGTTATGTAAAATCAGGAGTTTATTAAAATTGAATTAATGTATAAGGGCTATGTCTGATTTGGTTTTCAGTTCTCTCGAAATATGCCTGCCACGTTTCAACGAAATATGAAAATCCTGTCATTAATGGCCCGACTCACCCTGAAAATGGTTCAATTTTAAGCTTCATTTTAACAGTCTAAACTATCGGTTCTGGGTTTACCGACATTTTAAATTGAACTTTTCTCTATTTTCATCTTTATAATTTCAATCTTTTGATTATTGAATTCTTTGACTTGGAAAAATAAACGCATGATATTTATTTTCTTTTTATAAATTTATATTTTTTAAACAATTCCAGACAAATTTTCAGTCGAGTATATGCGTATGTCCATTAAAACAGTCAGCACAATCGGTTGATATGTTAATATAATTATTGCTAATAGGATTTCATAGAAGAAAAAAATTTGTTTGTCTGAGAAATAAAACAAATTCTGTAAAATCTCCATCGAAATCAAACGAATGTTTAATTTCAATTAAAACTAAACTATTCGTGCATTATAAGAAATACATTTATGCCAAAATGGTTTTTTATGTTTAATAACTACCAAATTTGTCGTCTAAGCGTCTCTAATATAATATGTTGAAAATTATTCTGAGAAAAGAAACCTAAAATCATTAGTAAGCGATTTAGCGATCTGTTCGAATTCGTGAAATGATCACTTACCACTTGTGAGAGATAGTCGTATTAAAGGTGCTCATAATATGACGTTTTTATGATGTTCATCCTCGTCAGCCAAGCCACGCTGGCACCTGGCGCCCAACCAACAACAGCTGTATATTTTCACTGAAAATGTTTTCGTAAGTAAATGTATTTTATCTGCGGTGTTTATCTAACACCTCAGACCACTTTAGAATTTCAACAGGGTAACGTAGAACAGGTTTTACTGTGTATGCGCCCTGGCTATTAATTCGACACGAATTGGATTGTGTGATTTATTATTTTCTGTGCCTTCGCATATAAAACCTAGTCAAATTACCCTAATACAGATGGCGAGGCTGTAAAAAAAGTTCCAATTTTAAAACAAATGTTTCGTTTTTTTTTGCTTCAAATAAAAAAGAGAACCGAATTGCAGGCGCATTCCATTAAGCTTCGAGTCCGTTGATATACTAGTATACCCCTCCGTATATACCTGAGTTATGCACCCATTCATTACTATGCATCAGATAATCAGCTTTGAGGCATAAGCATGTCTAATCCTCAAAAATTATTCGTGCGCTGTCAGACCTTAAGCTGATCACAGATTTCGACGACTGAAGATGATACGATAATTGTGTTTTATATTTTAAAAATGTCGTGTTAAAAAAAAAGAAATATTAATGCTAGAAGTATTAGCAATTCCTGTGCATAGCAGATATTTCAATACTAGAAATGAACATCTAAAAGTAGGATTTTTACTTCTTCCGCAAGCTACTATACCAAGTAGCACTTTAGTTAAAAAATCTTATAGCAAATACTTTTTTTTTAAGAAGAAATTTTTATTTTTTCCATGCTTGCTCCACATTGTAATTCCGCCTTTCTTGTGAGTTCAATGGGTAGAATGTATTTAACTAGCTAATAAAATTCTGATATAGAAAAACGTAAACTACTTACATATACATACTTCAATACTTAACTACAATTACTATATTTATTTGCACTGCAAAAAAAACACAAAAAATTTATATTCTAACGCTTTTTGTATTAATGGATTTATTTCCATTTGTTATTTGTTTATGCTATCAAATTTAGACTATTTATTTAATTTATTTTCTTAATTTACTATTCAGTTTATGTTCGTAATTTTATTTATTTTGCTTTCTATAATATTCTTCTTATAAACATCTCTTAATTCTTTAATGGCTTTGTCTTTTGCAGATTTAATGCCGCATTTCTCTATCTGAAGACGTTTTACAAAACTAAGAGAAATAAAGAAAATCCTATTACAGCCTCTTTTGGTATGTGCAACAGCAACGACGAAACATCTAATACATTTTTCATATTTTGCTCATTCCTTGCCAGAAGGAGTGGCATAGGTGTTAGATATGTTGAAGCATATATTTCAAACTACAAGTAAACACTACATTCAATACTTTGACTTTAAGGAACTACTACCGCAATTGCCGAGTTGCTGTGAAAAAGAAAATAGTTCGAAGTAAATCCTTAATTTTGATTTGATTATTTGGTCTTCATCTCAAATCAATCGAGACTGTCTAAAATTACAGTCTCAGGCATACCGCATACAAATATACCGCCCCGAAATGTCGAAAATACTCGAAGTGCCACTGGTGAAGCCAAAAACCATAGGCTAACGTTTCGACAAACCGCTTTGTGTAAACTCAACCAGGTTCAAACTGCTTCTCGTGAGGTAGATAATAGACACTGCTGGCTAAACACACACACACAGAGCATCCAAAATCGATATCGTACAGTCGGCTGTGCTTGTCCGTCGCACATGGGCGTAGGTAGTTTTATTTTGTTATAGTCACTTACTAAAAACCGTTACTCGGGTTGTTTCCAGTCTTTGTTAATTTCATTTTCACCAAATATGTATGAAAAATCTGGAATCTGTGGTATCTGAAATTATTATGGAAATATTTTTAAAAATATTTATCACTATGCCAAATTTAATTTTAAAAAATGATTAGCTTTCTTGATTTGACTTTTGAGGAAATTTTTATAGCAGTTATTTATTACTTGTGTGGTATTTATTTTACTTTAAATGTAGGAATTCGTGATTACACAGATATTAGACAAATTAACAAACAAATTGACGTTACGGAATAAAGTAATGTTAGTTTTGGTTAGTTTGCAGAATTTGAGCCTTGTATCTTTATAAATAATTCCAAATATTTTTGAAAATGCAAAAACAAGAAATGTTTTTGAAGCATTTGCTATGACTGTTATGAATCGTATAGAAAAATAATCACGGAGGTATGAGACAAGTTTATGGTAATCGATATAGGTCCAGAGATCTACTAGTTAGTTTGGAAGGTGGTGCTATACTAAAAAATATAGCAAAACCAAACAAAACAAATCAAAATTTAATTTTTATTTTATAAAAGGCCTAAAATCCAGCCATTTTCACGTTTCAATAGAGATTCTTTTAGCGCCGTTTTAAGACCTCCCAAAAAGCATTTAGTCAACTATGAATTTACATGTTTTTAAAATTTGGAAACCGAAAAAGTAGGTAAACCACATGGGAGTACTAACATTTGTTTTCTTTTAAATTAAGTTAAGTTTTAGTTTGAGTTAAAATGTGTTTGAAAATTATGATTTTGTGAAACCAATATTTTATAATAATAATAAGGACTATACTCAACTTTTTAACACTTAACTTTGTTAACCAAAGTTTATAGGCGAAGTCTAGTAGTAACTATTCATTCTTAACCTGTGTGGGATATCATTTACGAAATTGAGCCTTATATCTTTATAAATAATTCCAAATATTTTTGAAAATGCAAAACCAAGAAATGTTTTTCAAGCATTTCCTATGACTGTTGTGAATCATATAAAAAAAGAAGCACGGAAGTATGAGACACGTTTATGGCAACGATCTGGGTCTAGAGATTCCTGATATAATCTTTTATGACAAGCTGCCCATTGTAGACTTTTTGGAAAAAAAAATATCGCAAACCCAAACACAATTGTTATATATCTAAATTAGAGAAAATGTAAATTTTATTTTATAAAAGGCCTAAAATCCAGCCATTTTCACATTTCAATAGGTGATTCATCTAGTGTTGTTTTAAGACCTCGCAAAAGAAAATTATTCAACTATTTTTCTAATATTGTGAGCAACCGAGTCGCCACTGTACAAACGGAGATGTCTGGTTCCGAGAGCGAGAGCCAGCTGATATATATAGCGTTAATAGAGTCCGCAGTTATCACTTATCCAGTTTATCGACATATCGGGGCTTAGGTAAACAGTAATTGTGAGCGGCCAATGTCCCGTACCTAATCCTTCCTAATGTTCTATGACCGGATTAGTGACAATGTTCGCACCTTTAAAAGACGGGGATAATGACAGTCATCAACAATGGAAAACCGGAAGAGGTTGTTTTGTTGTGGCTGTATTCTTTCGGGTATACGTCTGCGGCTTGTTTGCGACTTTTTTTTTTTGATATTTTTCTCGGAGAATGTGAAGGGGACAATGCGACGGTAAAACATTCTGTTGAACTGATGCCGAGTCCCGTTACTGAACGAATTGAAGGAAGGTTACTCTAAGTATTCGAAACACACGAAATTGTAGCGATTTTATAAAGTATCGATACGACTTGCTAACTGCTTTTTTTTTCGGAACCTGGCACAGAATCAACAAGCCTTCAATCAGAATAACTGTTGATATTTTACAGATTTTTTTGTAAATTTAACTGTTGCTTCTGTATTTTGACCTCGTATATAAAGTAAAAAATATTTTGACAAAATTGTAAAATGATTTTGACAATGACATTGCCATTGCCTGAATATCAGCTCTCCGAATAATATTGTTTGGTTTAACGGTGGGTGATTGTTGTGCTCATGAGGAAATGGCTTCTGACTCGATCTCTATTGGTTAAATTACGCATGATGCTATTTATTGTGTATGTACGTGTTTTTATGCAGCTGTTAGAATAATTACATTTTTGTCAATAACCAATATTTGTCCGTACAGTACTGTCTTTACTGTCCTTATAGTATGACTTTAAATTCATATTAGATACGTACCTACCTGAGGCCACGCTGGTGAAGTATCTTCAATGTACATTGGAATAATATGGCCCTTTCGAAAATATGGACTACACGTTTTTTCTTGGATATGTTATATCAACCAGAAGGTAAAACTTAGTGATCCATCAAAGTGTTAAAAACTTTCAGCTTGTCGGAATTTGGTATTGACTTTTTGAATTGCGTTTCTTTCGGTGTCTATTAGAAACTTTTATCAAATAAGACTTAAATTTGCTCGGTCCAGTCTTTTTCTCAGATGGGCTATATAATTAATAAAACATAACTTTTGCAGCGAGACCTTTTGCTTAAACAATCTTGACAATAAAACTTTCTAATACATCTCAAAATTACACCAGAGATCTGATATGATATGAGAAAGTCATAGAGGGAACAAACGGAGGCGAGGAGCGAGTTGAAAACTACAACAATGTGCAGCCTGAGGTAATACTATTTGATGTTGAGATCTCGCCATCTTCACCATTCTATTTTTTAGCGAATAGGGTCCATCGTATTATAAATACTTTTTTCTACTCCCTACTCGAAAATACTCATGTATGCGCTGATAAGTCGTGCGGAAAGTGGCCAGTGTGTGAAAGTGCGTTAGCCACTGATGGTAGTTTGACGTTTGACAGTTGTGATGGTCAGGCTAATGGTCGTAGAAATAGGATCCGGTCACTGGTTTTTAAAGTACTCACGCCGCTAGTGCCAAATCAAAGCCGTGACTAAAATTGCGTTTATCAAACTTATTGCATAATATACTAAATATTTATAAATAGGATTCTTGTTTTTGAGTTTTGAGAAACGTTAAATTCGAATGCATATTTATTATTTGTCCATCAAGAGTCATATAAAAACTTGTCTCCAAACCGTGGGGATAATGATGTTAGTTTTATCGGTGTCGTTATCGGTTTTAACAAGAAAATATTAATACCCAAACGAAACCATCTAAAATTTTAATTTTGAACATGTGTTTTTGAACATTGCGGACATTACTGCACTCTGCATATGTTAATTGATGGCACAAATGACCACTTAATGAGGCCATTTGGTAATATGCGAGCGCTACCTATGCAATACCACGAATTAAACCTCCGATTAAGGCGGAAGTAAAAAACTGCAGGCAGGTCTTCGTTCCTGCTGCGATTCCTGTTAACCGTAGTTGCGTTTCCTTCGACGAACGGGAGGGCCCGCGAGTCCAACCGAGGTATCAGTTTCATTGGGTGTAAGAGCCGCGTGGTGATTGGCCTCGGCTGTTGACTACGTCACGCCCCTGATGTCTGTCGACGTTGATTTTGTGTTCGAGCACCGTCAAGTGTATAAACAGACATAAACCTACGTAATGTTTGCTTTAGGTGAATACGAGATATTTTCTCGCGGTCCTTCGAACCGGCGATAGAGATGCGGTTTATTTTTATTTTAGTGTGTACTAGCAAAATTTAAATTAAATTAATTAAAAGCCTTTATAACGAGCACTGTAAAATGATGCAAATGAAATTAATTTTCCAATGATTTTTTTCCTTTTTTTTGTTGTATTTGTAGTTTTTGTTCTTTCTTCTATAGTTTAGTTTAATTTAAGCACATTGTAGCTAATAGAGAATACTTGTTTTAAATAAATAAATAAAATGTCCCTCAATCACTTAGTTAATATTTTTTATTCCTGAAATAAATTTGTTTTATTTTTATGTAAACTCTTTCGGTTAGAAATATTTGTTACGGTAATAAATTTTATTTTTCGATTACTTAAGTCCAACAAAAATAAGTTAACAAAATTTAAATAAGAGCTATTTGGGTGGCCACCAAGAGTGATCCGTGACCACAAAATAAGTAAAACTATTAGACAAAGCTAGAAGAGTTTCGGATCTGATAAAAGCTTTTACAATTTGGTTTAATGCATTCTAACCACAGGTTTAAGAAAACTACCATAAATCAGATAATTCATTTTGCGGTTTGTAACTCAAAGATGTCAATTAACTGGTTTTGACAGTCGCTTTCTAAAAGTGATGTTTTAAATTAAATTTAAGCTAATGATATGACTTGTAGGGTCTCTTTTTACAATGATAACTATCCTATAACTATTTAGTTGTTAGAATATATCGGTGCAGCCAAATTTTTATTTCTAAGAATTGATTAGTAAGAAATTTTACGAAGAAATAAAAAATCCAAAACTCAGTGGATGGAAACCATGTTTTTTTTATTGGGAGTTATTATTGACCAAGTTCATGAAGTGAATCAAGGTGCAGGTGAAAAATACGTTAGGTATATAAATTATGATTCTTTTTTTTTTCCTGTAAAAATTTTATCTTCGAATATTAACAAAATCAGTTAACAGACTTAAAGCTACAGAACAAATAGGTGTTCTATATAGGTACGGTCGCGGTATGTGCGATATTAAAAATACTCTCCCCCGATCTGATTCAAGGGGCATTGTATGATAAACACATCATCATAATATGCAAATATCGCTATTATTCGTTTTATTAATAATGCTATCCCAAGTCCTTTCTAGTGCCTCATTATCTAATCGGAATGATATTAATACAAACGCAGCCTGACATATAAAAACTTTGGTAGCATATCGAAAGGGAATTACGATGAGGCCGAGATTTTACTCGAAACATTTACCATGAGAGAACGGCAGATTGTTATCTAGTTGCTTTCCCTGCAGCCACGTCGTAATTTCGATACAATAAATATTTTATTTATGGAATCTTTTTGTCTAATTAGTAAAAGTGCAATTAAATGAATTTACTTGGACTTTGAGAATTTTTTGTAAATAAAATTTATCGACAATGTAACAAGATTAAGTGAAAATTAAAAAAAAATGACCGACAATCAGAGTATTTAACGAAAATGTTATTGCTAAGTATTAGGTCCCATATGGCGGTTATTGTGTCTTCGTTAAGTTTAAACCGTGCTCTGCTGTAATTTCGTGAATTAATCTAATTTCGTTATATGAATTTTAATTGAACCAAATGACTTACGCCGAATTTGTTGTACGTTGATGACGAACAACATGCTCCGACTGGTTTGATTAAATAAATGCATCCCAAATCGCTTAAAGTTTTAGGTACAGTTATCCCTATTATACGGTCCAATGATGTTAATGTCAAAAGAGCAATGAAAGCAATAATAAATTAAGAACAATTAATAAATTTGGAGTGAAATAAGGGGTGTGTGCCACTGAAAATGGATTGGATCAAGTGCAATTGAAAATAATTTAGTATATAGGATATTGCTTATTATTGTTTAGTATTATGGCAGTTATTATTAAAGGTAAATATATAATAAATAATATATCTATTACAAAACAGTGGGCTCATAAAACATTTTATTTGTTTATTTTTAAATTAATAACAAAATTAAAGCATACAGTGTTTGAAGTTAAAAATTAAGTTTTTCGTATGCTTTTTAAAGTACTGTTCTAAAAAAAAATTAATACCCATTGAAACGTACCTATGTGCAAAATATTCTATATATTTTCTGATCGTAAACATTAGTGGCTAAACGGGTTTTGCATAAAGCAACTTTTATTCATGAAAAACAGACTATGCTGTGGTTTATCCTTCAACATAAAGTTGTTAATTGCCTGTATTTCGTGCTGCTAAATTTGATAGAAAAACTTTATTCAAATCATTAGAAACTTTATTAATTAAACACGGACCAAACATTCCACGGAAAAAAGTGGCAAAATATATGAATAAGTTCAGACATCTTTATTAAGTACACTAAAAATGTTATCCATTCAGAAGCGCATCTCAACTGTGAATATACACAAAAAGTTGAAAGTAAATTTCTGTGTAGTTCCTTAAGTTTTAATGCTCTTCAAGCAATGCAATTCACCCCGTTCCTTGAAGCAGTTTAATATACCGTACATGAATTCACTATATGACAGTAGTATACAGTTCTTATCTTTCTTTGATTTCAATAACCTTCACACATCTTTGTTGCTCTAATGGACGAATTAAATTTTTCATTCCATAACATTATCCAAAGATAAAACTGAAAATTAATGAACTAGCTTGACAGGTGAACACTTACACAGAGTAGGACGTCTACAAGACTCCCGAAGCGGGTCGGCTCAGGTTAAAAATCTAAAACATATTCTTTTTGAATGTCCTATTACTTTGAGACTCAATAGAGATCTTTGGGATGACTGTTATATTTAATCTAATAATTGTTTTGCAGGTTCTAACATTATTAAAACCATTTTGGCTTACTGCAACTATAACCAAATAAAACCATAGAGAATGCTCGGTTAGATAGAGAGCACGGTTTGTTTCTTTTTCACTCCAATTTTGAACCTAACCCCTGCAGAATGTTCCTACTCATAGCAACTCTGCCCTGCTCTGTGACGATACTATATAGAAAGAAGATGGCAGTACATTAAATTGGTTTAAAACAAATAAAAACATCGTGGAGTTTAGAAGGGCATAAGCCAAAGAAAAAGAAGCTGGCAAAAGTAAAAGTCATTAAACTATTTTCTTCTGTTTAAATATTCTTGTCCAGTGGATTTTGCCAATAAAACTCGATGTGATACTATTTCGTATGTATTTACAAGGCCGAGTTTGTAAATAATAATAATCATTTTTCGTTACGAACTTATGTATTATTATGCGATCGAACAATAAAATATAAAATCTGAGTACTCTAACCACAAGTTAAAAAAAAACAATTTATAGTATTAATAGCTTTCTGTAGTCACTTAAACCGAAAAACTAAATGGTGCAAGTCGCCTAATCTCTACCGTAGAGTATAAATTTGCCATACTTCTTAAACAATATCGACACTTGCCATATTATACATACAATATATATAAATTATCAACCCTAACTGTGTAATATCTACAAGAGAACTCTACAGAGAAGCAAATAAATACATAATAATATTGCAACAAACGGTTTCAGATCAGGCCGTCCTGATGGCGTTCGGACAGTCTGTATCACGTGAGCCGTGGAGGCGAGAAGGGCCGGTGCAGCAAGGGCCCGTTATTCTGAGGACTAGGGGGCGCTATCCGCGCGATGCTATGTGGGTTCATGAGGTGTGTATGTGGCGACGAGGGCGCCATCATACGACTAGAGTGCATGTTCACCTGTATGCGCAGGGGCGCTGTCACCTGCGGTGGCAGGTGATTGGGGGGCAATCTCAGGGGCAGGGGGGTTTCGATTTTGACACCTTCGGATTGCTGATGGGGGATCCGAAGATTGCTCAGGTTCATCGGCGGGGAGTGCTGGAGTGATGTTTGGGGAGGCGTGGAATCCAGACGCAAGGGGCTGTTGCTGTCGGTTTTGTCCTGGAAGAAGAATGGAATTTAGATGTTTCGGAATAATTCAGGGTGTTGGGGTATTATGAGTACTTTTTGTGCTGTTTACGCGTGGTTTTCCATTGAATCTAAGGTGTCCAATATTTTAGGCTTTCCTGCAGCATTTTACCTGTAGAGGAAAGCTCTAAAACAGCTTCTGAACGGTGACCATTTTTATAGTTTTTATACGACAACGATAAGTTCATAATTTTGTTTCAGTTCGTTTTGGAAGTCACGAGTTTGTTAAAAAAAGTAAAGCAATTGATCAAAAAATTCTAGAAGGCTTCGAGAATGTTTGCAAGGTTTTAGTATTAAAAAGCATTTAGATTTCATAAAAATTTGTGCTCATAAAATGCAGTAAATAAAACAAAGCCGTATATTTGTTTGCTGTATGTTTGTCCTATCTCCATCCATTAATCAGAAAACAAATAAGGACAAAACGACATTTAATAGGAAAATGCCTGCAGTAAAAGTTTAGATCCAAACGTAAAAAATAGTCAGAAACTTATTTTTACGCACAGTTGGTTTTTCAAATAGGACACCTCGTATGTTTTTATAATTTTTGATTTCTGAGATACATTTTCTGTTCGTCAACCAAAGATAAGAGTTCAATTTTCTTTAATCACCTTTCTAATTTTTCCTTTCCAAATTATAGACCAAAATTTGTCGCTTGACACACATTTTTTATATCAAATTTGGCGATTTTTTGTTTACTTGTTGCCCTATTTGCAATATTTGCAATATTTGCAAAGCAAGTATTGTACTCGTAAATGGAACCAATTTATACGCTGCTGTACTTTTCAGTACCAGTTTTTCATTTTATTCTCGTTAAATTCTAATAATTCTGACGACACTATAAAATGTTCCCTTTTGATTTGTCTGCAAATAAAAAACACAGCAAGTAGTAGGCAGTTATGAGGAAACTACAAGCATTCTCCAAAGGCAACGACTTTTAAAAAAATATATTTTGTTAGAATATAATCCTCCCCTCCATAAATCCTTTCGCGTCAACTCACCCTGGATTCATGTCTGCAATCGTTGTTGGAGTCTACATCGATCGGGCTGTCGTTAGAGGTCAACCTCAGGTTGACAGCAGCGTAATTCGACGTCGCGTTGTCGATATTTATCGGAGACCCATCACAGTCTTGGAGTTTACCTTCCCGGCTCATCCGGAAATTCGGAGACGTGGGGGAGTGTCGATCCAGCCTGAAGCTTTGGGCTGCGTGGGAGCCCCCGACACGGAACTGAGACGGCATGGGGCCGGGAGAATGGGCCCCAAAACGAAACGAGGTTATGTGGTTTGGGGACGGAGGGCCCAAACGTAGGGGACCGGGAGAACTAATCGGAGGAGAGTGGGCACCCAGGGAGATGTCCGAATCGCTGTCGGAAGGCGTCGGACTCAACGGGGGTTGTCGGCCGCCGCCCCCGTGGTGAGATAATTGAGCTGCTAGCTGTTGCTGTTGCATTCTGGAAGAAAAGGAAAATTGGTTTAGTGTTACGGTTGCTTTGTGTGTCACACAAGGAAAGTATTTAAGAAAAAAATCGTACATTAAGGAATAAATAAATAAAGCTTTTATAATATTAAGTGGCGATGTTCAATACGGCTGCTCTTCCAGGAAATTAGGTACAAGATATATGTATTGAAAAAATACATTCTTAATCAAAGGTCAAGTTTTAAAAACTTAAAAGAAGGGAAAACGGTGTGCTCTTTATTTATAAAACTTAACTTAATAAAACTAACTAAAACTAATTACAATTAATTGTCGTTAGACTTCTCTTACGAAAGATGAGACTTTTGAATTAAATGGCAACTCAACAGCAAAAAAATAGTTCCATTTACTTGACCTTTTATTTATACGAATGTTGGTAATGTAATTTTAAAATATCGTTAAAATATTGTAAAAATTTTTAACCCCCACCCCTACCCCCCAATCACTTATAATGAAAACCAATTGGTCAAGTTCAAAAGAAATATTTAATTTGACAACCACTGCTGATAGCACCGTAAAAAGCAAGTTCCCACTCAAGTTTCAGTCGGTCATAATACCATTGGTCGTAAGCCCAAAACAGATCTAAACATTCGAAATAATCGCACAAAATATAATTAGACGTTTTTCCCAATCGTTCCTTATGGAACATGAGACTTGAATTCAATGCCAACTCAACAAATAAATAAATTGTTTCAGTCTCGATAAAAGTTTTCTATTAATGTATCTAAATAGTTCTATTTACTTCATCTCACAATTAATTACGATTAAAATACATGTGTATTTGTAAAATTTATGTTGGTGGCTTTTCCTATAATCAAGTTTTAACCATCACAAAATTTATAATAAACAGGCTGCTCTCTCTCAAATATAGAATCAATTGGTCAAAAAAAAAATTCGTTCCGACCGTTAAGCTTTGGTTAAAGAGCTGTAAAAGTTTTGTGTTTTGCTTTTTAAACTCAGATATAAGTCACTGCAAATTATAATTTGCAGAGATTGGGTGTGGCCAAGCATCTTAAAATTTGTCCATGCAAGGTAGAAATGGAAATACAGAAAGCAATGCCAATCTGAATATTTCAGTATAGGAGAGTGCAGAATTTTTCAATTATGAAATATCATTTGGATGTTCTGATTTTTGATATTTTAGAATAATGCTAATTTCACAAAGAAATACGGTTTGGGCACCTATCCCAATATCCATTAAACAAAAATTGGATTCCATCCAACAACCATCTTGTGCACGGGCAGTGATATATGATTTTTTTAAAGGACACGAGTTTCCTAGTTTTCTGGTAAGGTGTCAATTTTTTCAAAACCTTTTTGGATTGATAACTTGTTGCATTTTTAAAGAAACAATTATAAGTCTGTATATGCGAGGAAATAAGTTTTACTTTTTAGTAAAAATTTAGTAAAAATCATCGTTGTAAAAATCAAGTGGTTGGTCAGATCTTCTTTGTCCATACTGAAATTACAAAAAGGCAATGAAACATTCCAAAAAATCACGAAAATGTAATGAAATGTGTAATTTGATGGTCTGCCTCAGTTCGCCTATGGTCGTATCTCTAAGCCTATGGTGAATCTCTAAGCTCAAAACAAAACCAACACCAAAAAGTCACACAGAAACTTCCCACTCAAGTTTTCTTCGGTACTAAACATAATGTAATGTAAAGAAAAACATTAAGGCCTTGTTCAGCTTTCAGTCATAATATTACCTGCCCGAAGCTCAAAACAAAATAAAATATTGGAAGCAATCGCACAAAATGTACTAGAATATTAAATTTAATAAACTTTCCTGATGGCACAGACACAAAACAGATCCCAACATTCAAAAAATCTAATAAGAAGTATTAGAATATTATATTGGATGAATACGAGGTTCCAGTGACCTCTTATTTTGCATTGTGTAAGCTCAAGACAAAAGCAAACATTCAAAAAAATTGCATAAAATGTGAGCAGAGATATATTTGACAAATACTACTGATGGCACCGTAAAAGTCAAAATATCAGTTAACTCAAAACAATATTAAACAATCGAAAAAAATCGCACAAAATGCAATGAAATAATAAATTTCACCAACCTTCTTGATGCCACCGTAAAAACTAAAACCTCACTCGGCTAATGCCATTAGTGAAGCACTAAGCTTAAAACTATATTAAATTTTATAAAAAAAATCCTGACGCCATCGTAAAATCTAAGGTCTCACTCAGCACTCTTTCGGTCATAATGCCCTTGGTGGAGCCCGTCAGCTCAAAACGTAGCTAAACAATCGAAAAAAATCGCACAGAATGTAATGGAATATTAAATTTGATAAACACTAGGCAACACAAGCATAATAAGTCGTATTAATAATTCACGCCATGTGCGCGAGGAGCACTTAATACCCCCTTGTTTTCCAACACAGATACGAAAGCTATTTTGACGTCGTAACGACGTTAAATAGTAAATAGCACTTAGTGTGAATTGTTTTGCTTGGGTCGCGTTTTACGTGTGCGTTTAAACACTCGAAGAGCGACGGGACGCGTGCTCTCCGCGCCTCTACCACTTAATTTGAGTGCCGAATGCCGGGGCGTCAACGCCGCCGCCACCTCCGTCGCCACCCTCCCCCGTGCCCGTCCCTGCGAAAACTGTTTGCGCTCTCCCGTCTTCTTAAAAGATCATCAAATATGTGCTTTGTTGTTAAAAGTATTCATTGTCGCGGCTCGCAATTATGGCGCGTTTTTTTTTTCTTCTCCCCCAGCCAGAAGCGCGCTTTAATCTCTTTTTCTTTTGCTTTCGTTCGTTGTTACACGGCGAGATATTTGCGAAGGAAAACTTTTGCACCGTGCCGAATCAATACGGCCGTCTTTTTGAATATGCAAGGGGTGTTCAGAGCTGTGTACAGAGTGTCTTAAGTCATTAAACAAAAAAAATGTCAATTTGGAATATTGTAAACTATACGACACCGGATAACATAAGTAATCAAAAAATTCGACTAAGCCATAGCAACATTTTTTTTTGTGCAGGAAATATTCTTAATTGCATTTAGCATTCTGTTATGTATCCCCAATTCTTAGCATCAAAACTTATTTTTTCCTTGTCGGAATAACATTAATATTTTTTTTTTACACAAATCCATGTTTTTAAATACATGGGCAAATTTTTAAAAATATCCTGACAAGAAGTACGTATTATATACAAAAGTATTTAATGTATGAGTTAATAATATACGTTAGAGCATCTCTCAAACATAGCTTATTTTTAATAATTTTTTCAATCACTCTCACAATTAAGAGTGCCTTCCAAATGGAGTCCCAATTCAAAGCAGTATCCTGTCTACTTTGAACATTCTGAACATTTTCACAAATACAGGGTTAAATTCAAAAATGCGGATTTGTTTCGGTTGTTTTTAACTTATCAAAGACATTCGAGCGTATTTTTTAGCAGAATCCAGTGCTAAATTTCAAATTGTTATTGATAGCCCTTCTAAAAGCATTAAAGCGATTTCCCAAAGTTCAATTTTCTAATTTCACTCAGTATTTTAAAAGAAGCGCGACTCTCTTTAAAAAAAAACGAATTATACCATGCATTAAAAGTGTCGAAAAAATTACAACTCGTGCAGCATGCTTCTTAAGTACGTGGCCAGATTTCAGAAGAAAGGAAAAAAAGTTTTCTTATAGACAGAGTATGTTAAACATAAAAAAACAAAAGTGCGACATTAACTTCTTCCTTTTTTGCAGATTAAGCAACTAGAAAAATAAGATTTCATTTTTTGCATTTTTCTGTTATACTTCGTTTATAAGATTTAAAAAAAAAACACTTTCTAAAATCACAGAAGCTATAAAAAAAAATCCAGACAAAAAATTAGTGTTTAGATGTTAAGAGGTGTTTTCCCCAAAAATACTGGTTAGAACATCTTCTACAATGTTATTCCAATTGAGGCTAAATTTATTAAATAACCAAAACTATCGTAAAAAACTCCACTGTCTAACTTAAACAGAATGGTTAGGACAATATTCAGGTGTTGCTGATTTAAGTTTGGCAGCGTACTTTTTTAATAACTTGATATTTACATTTTTGTCATGTCAGTAAGTAGACTAAGGGGTTAGGAATTTAGAAAATATTTTTTTAGTTAATTAAACTAAATAATTAAACCACAGGCAGCAATGGAAATGTAGCAAGTTTCATTAAAGTAAGAGGTTAAATTTATGCACACCAATGGGTTATGATCCACACTTGCTATTAAAAAAACAAAATCGATCCTGATATTGCTCAAACGGAAAATCGGACATTACTGTACAAAAATTACTTACGGAGATGTAACGGAATAAATGGAACAAATATGGACGTATTGAAAGGTGTTTAGGAAACACAATCCATTTCTTTTCTATGGGATTTATGTTATATGTCGAACGAATTGTTTGAGTCTCATTTAAATTTTCATCGGATTTTTCATATGGCACCCGACCCCGCCAGGACAGGAGCAAAAAAGTGCATCAAAAAAGAGGCCGCCGATTTGGATGATCGAATTGGCCGTCAGTGAGCAATTTTTCCGTGCAATACCGTGTTGCGTTTCTGGACGGGAATTCTGGATATTGCCAAACAGATTCACAGGGCGCGTTTTTCCCTGAACGCTCCTGATAAACGGGTAAGTGCCAATGTTGAGTTGGGGGTTCGTTTTGTCATCCTCAGTCCACTAAAACACTTCCAACGTCCCTTTTAGCCACAAAAGGTTACACAAATTCCGCTAACGGTTTATGTGCAGTAAATAAAAACTAATAACAACAACAAACGACGTTTCAATGAATGAAAAGTTTGGAATTAAAGGTTTGGAGTATTATTTTATGGATATGGATCGATATAGTTTAACCGACATTCTTATAAAACGTTTCAGTGACTCCATTAGGGCGGACGCATTCATCAAACCGATTTATCTCAATTCCGACTCAACAGACGACGGCATTAGCCCCGAGGTATATTATCCAGCGACCTCGTCGAAGCAA